GTACAGCTCAATTGCGCGTCACTTACTCCAAGTGCTGCCTTCACTGACTGCGCATAAACGACTGGGCGAGATCTTATGACAAGGGATATTTTCTTCGGTAAGATAAGAATGATGCCATTTGAGCGCTTGGAAAACAAAATGTATTTACTTCAAAAGTTCGACAGAATCGAACCATGCGACATGTTTCAAAATGCGAACTTCTGTTACGTTGTGGGGAGCCAACAATATGGCGTAAAAAGCAATGAACGTTTCTACTACTTTTATCAACTTTGACTTGCGCCTTTCAAACATTCCTCCATTTCCTCTGCGCTTATAAAATTGAATCGGAACTGCTATCATATGACATATATTGACAAAACCACATTCGAGAAACAAAGTACGTCGTTTATCGAGGGCATAATAATTATTGCCAGCACCGTATTAAATTATGTCATCAATGCAATAGATAAAAGCGATGAACCATTGCAGCAAAGTGATTGACTATACTTAAAACTGTTTTATTGAATGCATTTCAGACCACAGAAAGCACATCAATGTTATATGTAGGCGAAGGCGCTTGTGGATGACAAATACGTAAAGGGCAAGTCATCGTCTCTTCCCCTAAAAAGACTTCATCTAAACAGGAGATGCCAACCTCTCTACACAAATACGCTCAGAAAATTGCAAATATGTTCCAACACCAATAACTGTACTAGGTGAGAAATCTCTTTTACCGGGATGTTCTGCTGTATAAGTGCTGCTTTTGCGAGTTTCCATTGTTAAGCTGAGGAACAAGGTCAGCAATGACATCACATCTACTGACCAAATTTGCTAACTGTCGCGTAAGCAGCGAATCAACGTCAGTTGCTCCTTTATTGATGCATGTAATGTTCACATATGTCTCAAGTGCCTTCAAAATACAAGTAGAGAAATTTAAAAATGGAAAGAAAAAAGCCAGATTCGTACTCACTTTTACGATATAGCTATTGGCGGTGGTGAAAGTTTGAGATGCCATCTCTTTTCCACCCGTTTTCATCACTGACACAGCGATTAGAGGCACTTGCTTAGGATAGTTCAATGGCAACATCACGTAGCCATTTATTCTAAATACCGCATTTCTCAATTAAAAAAAAAAGTCAAACATCTTGAAGAATTCAAACTTACTTCAAATCAGCTACTTTATTTTCCATAACTATCAAAAAATAGAAAGCTCCTCCTTCCCGCAGCACTAAGGTTCGCATATCTGGTGCGACGGCTGCCTGTACGATAGCAAAATCAATATAGGAACGAAAAACTTCTTTTAGTATGAGAATAGTTAGGACGTGCTGATCTTCGAACTATCAAAAACGAGACAAAATTCATATTTCGGCGTGATCTTCCTTGCCAATACGAGCTTTTATGGAAAAGCTTTGATCTTAGTCCCCTAACGTTTCTGCTGACCGTCGTCTTCAGAGGTCTGAATTGGGGGAGAAGATTGACAATCATATGTCTACCGGTCCAGACGTTTTTTCAACCTTCAGCGAATTTTCAACCTTCCCTACCCCTACCTTCACCCCCGATGTACTCGCAAATGTCGCAAATGGGAAAAAGAAACCTAAAATCTATTATCACGAGTAAATCTTGGGTGGGGG